TACTTGGAAAGGCTGAGGCGGAAGGATCGCCGGAGCCCAGCGGGTCGAGGCCGCGGTGGCCGGGAGCGGTCACTGCACTCCAGTCTGGGCGACGGAGTGAGACTCCAACTCAAAAAGAAAAGAAAGAAAGAGTAGGTGGATGGATGGGTGGATGGGTGGATGAGTGGATGGGTGGATGGGTGGGAGGGTGGAAGAATGAGGGGATAAAAGGACGGTGGATTGGTGGTTGAGTGGCTGGAAAGAAGGAGGATAGAAAGTTGTTCTCTCCCTTGGAGGACCACTGCCTCGCAGACCACCTACCTAGGGCCGGTCCCTCTTCCCAGGTCTGACCCGGAGGGAGTTCCCTCCCACGTAGCTCCCTGACAGGCTTGATGAGATGGGAGCTCTGAACTTTCTGCCTGGACCTGAGGCCCCTCGCCCACCTGTGCTCGTGTAGTGGATTTTCCAGCCTGTGTGGTCCCCAGACTCATCGGTGACAAAGGTGATGGTCACGACGTTGCTCTTTGTTTCAATTCTACGGGGCAACGTCTTCCCACAAAATGGGCCATATTCCTTTTTGTCGGTTTGAATCTGAAAAGCAGGAGGCCCGGGAAACTTCAGGACCTGCTGCCAGGGGTTCAGCCTGGGCTCAGCAGTTCAGGGCCAGCTGATGTGGCCAATCCAGCACACGGCGGCCCCCCCATGGCTCCCTCACCCTCAAGCCTCCGCCTGGCTTGGACCCCATGGAGAGTCTGCAGGGGGGGTGGGAGCGGTGCTGCAGGAAGGAAGGTGTGGCCGGGCTGAGGGGGAGGGTCCAGGAGTCAGACCTGGAGGGAGTCGTAGGGGCACTGGGCTTCAGGGTGCATCTCCACGTCGAAGGTCTCCACGAAGTCCAGGATGACGCTGAAGCCCTCCTCCAGGCGGATGCTGTAAGTGCAGCTGGACAGCTTGGGGTACGGCTGCGGGTATTCAGGGCTGCTGAGCATCCCGGACCGCTCGGTGAGGACCTGGCCTGAGCACAGGGCTGGGAGGAGGGAGGATGGGAGGTATGACCCCGTACCCCCTCTGCCAGCCTCAGACAGCGGGCAGGCGGCCCCTGGGGAGCAGGCTGTGAGGACAGGGGCGAGGCTGGGACATCTGCGTCCCTGGTCTGGCCAGGGCCCTGCATGCGGCCAGCCCAAGGCCTCACCAGAAACCTAACACCCCACCCTGATGCCAAGACTCTTGCTTCGAGGCCTCCGCTGGAACAGGTGGCATTTGGGCTGAGGTGGAAGTTCCCCAGAGCAGGGGCACACTAGCCGGAGTCACAGCCCTGCTGGGGAAGGCATGAGAGGCCAGACTCTGCCGGGGGAAGTGGGTGCTGGAAGAAGAAAGGGAGACTCGGCCTCCAGGGATTTGGGGAGGAGGGGGAGCGCCGCCACGAGCCTAGAGGCCTTTTGACTTTCCCCAGATTCCCCACTCCGGTCCCAGCAATTCCCAAGTTTATCCACCAGGGGTCCCCAGCCTGCACCCAGCCGGGACCGGCCCGGCATCCCCACCCCCATCCCAGGGCAGAGGGCGGGGAGCAGTTTGCAGGGGCCTCCCCGCCTCTCCTCACCTCCTTCCCTGAGGAAAGTTCAGGGACGTTCAAGTCACCGTGATCATAGCCCAGCCCAGTGCCCTTCCTCACGGGAACAGCTGGCTCTGTCCACACTCCAGGAGGGCACGGCCACATCCCACCACCCCCGCCCCGGCTGTGGAGGAAGGATGGAAGGAACGGGCATTCGAGCCAAAGGCTTCCAGGAAGGGGGGCGTTCCAGCACTGCCCGCCTTCTCAGGGGTTCCATTCTCCAGGTGGGACACAGGGACTTCCCCTGGATTTGGGGACCAGACCGCCCCTTAGCGAATACTCCTTGGATCTCTGGCTCTGGATCAGGCTCCCCTAGGCCAGCCCCGGACAGGGGGTGCTCCAGGCGCAGCCTCCGGGGACCCGGTGGGGAAAGCACATTCCCCCTCAGTGAACCCAGGCCAACCTCCCCCTCTCCGGACCCCCGTGCCCTGTCTTCAAAGTGGGGGGCCAGAGCAAACCCTTCTGGCCAAGCAGCCTGCTTCCCATGGGGGCTCCCACCCAGCTGGGCTTCATGAGGGCTGCTCAGAGGGGAGACGGAGAGAAGAGAAGGCCCGGCACACACTGCCACCCGCCCCGCCCACCCCCAGAGACAAGGCAGCAAGCGGAAGTGGAGCCGGGTTTATTATGGGGTCCGTGGGTGGGAGAACAGGGCCAGCCGCCGGCCGCAGCCATCCTGGCCTAACCCAGAGCTGTGGCCAGAGGGGCTTGCTCTGCTTCTGGCCCTTGAGGAGGCCGGAGCTGCAGGGAGGCTAGAAGCTCTGTGCTGGAAGAGACATCAGAGAGACAGGGAGAGACACCGTGGGAGAGACACCAAGTGAGGGAGCCAGGGTCAGCTCCAGCTGGATGGGGCTGCCCACTCCCTAGGACACCGGCTAATTCTCAGACGCAGAGGTGGGGGCCCCATGGCGGAAGGCAAAGGGCTTCTGGGAAGGGGTCGGCCTCCTGGGAAGGGGTCAGTCTCCTGGGGAGAGGTCAGCCTCCTGGGAAGGGGTCGTTCTCCTGGGAAGGGGGTGGCCCCCTGGGATGCGCAGCTTTGAGCGTGTCTGCCCCTCACCCCAAAGTCTCTGGAGGGGGCAGCCCTGGGAGCCCAACTTGGCCAGAGGGGTCAGGCTCAGGTCCCAACACTCCCACCCCAGGAACTGGCAGCAGCTGCCCAAGGAAGGAAGTGGCTGTCTGAGCCCAGATGGGGCCAGAGGCTCTCTGGGGACCCAACGATGCTGATGGGTCCCCAGAGGCAGAAGAGTGGGTGGGGGTGAGCCCAGAGTCCCGGGTGGGAGGAGCTCGGACGTGAACAGATGGTGCAGGGAGGGGGTGCAGGGAGGGGCTCAGAGACGGGGCAGGGAGCAGGCCTGGAAGTGCCGGGCAGGCTGGGTCCCAGGTGTCCCCACCCCGGGCAGAACAGCCATGTGCCCTGGGGCAGGGCGGGCCCCTGGGCTCCACGGCCTCGCTCACCCGAGCAGGTGTGCCCGTTGCGGTGAAGCGTGTAGCCCACGCGGCAGGAGCAGTAGAAGCCGCCCAGGTGGTTGTGGCAGTGGTGGTCACAGGCGGGTGCCGCTCCCGGGGGCACCTGGCACTCGTCGATGTCTGGGAAGAGGCAGGCCAGGCCAGCGGTCAGGAGGGCAAGAGTGGGACCGTGCTCCAGCCTGGCCTCGGACTCTAGAGACCAGTGACCTCCGTGGCGGACCTGGGAGGCAGCCTGGTGTCCCGAGGCAGGCTGGTGCTTGGCCAAGCACCTTACGGGCCTTGGGTCACTGAAGCCACCCTGGGCTCTAGGAGGGAGACACAAATGCCACCTCTTAAACCAGCGAGGGGCTCAGTGTCCTGTCCAAGGCCACCAGCTAGTGAAGGGACCAGCTGAACTCTTGCAGCAGCCTCCTAAGGAACAGAGAGGTTGAGCACTTGCCCATGGCCACACAGCGGGTCTCTGCAGGGCCAAGATCAGAACTCAAGCTCTTAGCTGGGCTCGGTGGCTCAGCCTGTAGTCCCATGCCTTTGGGAGGCTGAGGTGAGTGGATTGCCTGAGCCCGCGGG